GCCTAGAAACGGTAATAATGTGATGGAATACATTGCGGCTGCTGGAGCATTGTGTACGGTGATGCGTTGAAAGCAACTGTAATAGGTCAGCGTGAGAACTAGGTGGGTAATAATGCGTGCAGTATTAGAGGGAGTGTTGGGTTTTGGCGAAACACTCGCAACCCCTTGATAGCAATGCGCTTTTGCGCAACATGAAAAGAATGTGACTTAATGAGTCCAAGATACCGCTCCAGTATATGCAAGATAGATTGAATGATGAGCAATACTACGGAGTTTCCCCTACTTATCACATTCGTCTGTACTCAATAGAGTCAATCAGTAGGACCAGCAAAGTGCAGTATCCCGGTCAAACGTGACTGTTTACCGAGAAAGATGGTCACTAGTTGGGTTGTTGGTATACCGATCATCCCGGGTGGAATCCGGCAAAGACATCGAAGCTGTCGGATATGTTGAAATTCATATATGCACGGGAAAAGAGCAATCCAAACGGAAGAACACTTTCGTTGGCATGGTTCAACGACGAATCAGGTTGCACATAGTGACACCAGGGTCAAAAGTAGTGGCTGAAGGATAGTGTGTATAAGCGAAAGGGTACAAGAATTACGCTACTAATTCACCAACACTGACGATGTTGCCTCGGCTGGTAGTGACGGTTTGCGAATCCATGGCAAGTTCAGTGAATATGCAAAAATATATACAAGTTGTTTATCAATTGGGTTCTCAGTTAGGTACTTCTGGCGAAGCATAGCAAATCGACTACCTCATAAAAAGGATGCTATGTAGTAGCATACACGTGGCAGCCTTGCAAGAAGACTCGTAGCATGTTGATTGAGTTTGTGGATTTCTAGATTGAACGTTAGATTAACGGTAATCAGCCATTAGGTTGCGAGTTTTGAAGATGCATTGACGACTTTGCATTCCTTTGCCTGAGGGTGCGTAGCACCGCTACTGTTTTGACTGTTGGCTTGTGGTCAGCCAAAAAGAAAGCAAGTGACAGAGCAGAAACAGGATGTTCTAAATACCAAAGAGAAAGCAGGTTAACAGAAAACCCGTGCACAAACCAACGCGTTCTTATATGATTGTTCAAGCTATTTAAACTGCACAATGTATGGAATTATTAAAGATAACCGTTACTGAGATCGACTAAGTGCCTCTCGGTGGGAGACCATCCAAATGTGTGCTCGAAGCGGATGTTTAATTACAAGGCACTTTTCTACAATCCTGTAGGACATTGTATGATAAGATTTTATCGGATATTTCCCATGCTCTTTATTCTGCTCTTAGTCGGTGGGTTTCTAACTCATTCACCCGTTCTGGTGATCTACTTTTAACGGCACCCACCGAAGCTTACAGACTATCAATTGTACCGTTTCTCGCCAGATATCTTACAAAGCATGAACTCGTTGCAGAAAATATGCGCAAAATGCTAAACTACACCAAGCAAAAAAGCCCTGGTACATCAATTGGTTTTTCGTGTTGCTGTGCGTTTTACTTCTTTTTACTGCTGTATTACATTTCGATTTTACTTTAATTGTTGACATATTGTGATTATGTGGTTGCTGAGAATTCACCCTTCGACCTGTATAAAGCAATTCCTGATTCGACTTGAGATTGATCAATACCTGTTTTAAACAAGACTGCCCAAAGCGTTGTTCATTCGAAAAAGTTGAAATAACTGATCTGAAAGCATGCACCATGCTACGCCATTTAGAAAGTACGAAATCACAGCAACGTGAGTTGCAAACAAGTTTTCTGTTTTCGTGTTTTGGATAGGAATAGCGAAAATATTAAGTGAACGCACATCTTGTTCAATGGACTACTTTCGCAAATATATAATCTGTAATGTTTGCAAAGCGGCCTTATGTCGGTTTATGTAAATGTCAATATGTCAGCGGTCAATGGGCTCGATAGAGATCAGCAGAGGTCTCAAATACTATGGACATATCAGTATATATGTAAAGCATTCAGCAGTAAGTTTATACGCTGGAAGTTCGGTCGGTGCCGGTGTGTGGACAAACATTGTTTGTATACTCTTGTATGAATTTTGATCGCATGAGTTGATAAAAATATCTGTTCGCCCTAATTTTTTTCCGTAACTGTTAAACTGAAGACAGAATTACTTCGGTTGCTGTGGTGGCAGTTGCCTTGACATGAGCATAGATAGATCCAGATAAAATGATATATTTTTCGCATACATTTGGTGTGCACCGATAAGCTTTCTGGTATTTGAGACCTCGGGGGATTTGAGTTGATTATCACCTGCCCGCTGGTTCTACCTATAAGGTCACTAGTTACTTTGCCAGATGGTCTAATTGATCAGGAATGCTAACCGCTCCAGTTCTGAATTCAACATATGAGCAAACCGAAATCCTCAGCTAATCCCCTGGAAGATTCCAATTGTTCCGTTATGATTGCCTGTCAGTTTCTTCCGATGAATACAAAAGCCACGTAACACGGGATGAAAATTTGCTATACAGATTATGCTCCGTATAAACGTGATTCTGGAAGAAACCTTAGTTTTCATGAGTGAACTCCGTTCGGGTGATAATGAAGAGAATTCTGTTGTTTCATGCGTATCAATCCGCCTAAACGAGGACTGTAGCCAGAGAATACATGCAAAATCGTCAACCAACTCTCATTGCTTTATCTGATTCCCGCAAAAATGATTCCTATCTGAATTGGTCGACTTGTTGTTTTCGTGCACCTACCAGTTAAATCTAAAAAGCGTTACCCACGAGGATCATGCCTTGTTAATATTGATGCTTTGTTTATCCTTGAATCCAAACCGCGTGCTTCTCGATTTTTCAAAGTATCTGTCCGGTCCATCTGTCTCACCATAAACCGGTATAGCCAGCATATATTTTCGACCTAATCGGTTCGTTTTGAATGTCGATGCCTCCTCTTTGTCCTTTATTCGATTGCTTCTCTTTCGTATACAGCATACACCAATAAGTAGATTTTCATGCTTTCTGGGAAATTTAGATGACCAGATGATTTATAAAGAACCTCTTATTCAAAACATAACTTCGTTACGCTATTTGGTTTCGAGCGATGTAGTCAAGCTTGTTTGGAGCACCACCTACTTCTTCATCGATTCCTGAACGGATTCAACGAAAAACATTCGTATTATTTAAGGCCCACCCAACTCTTCAAACCTCTTGCCCCTAATCCCTTGCCAAGTCAGTGTTCAGTTGTTCCCCGTTTTACGGCCAAAACCATGGATGCTGCTGTCATGAGTTTACATCTGCCTCTACTACTATCCAGTCAACTGACATCATACTTGCGCACAAACTGCCAGCCACTGCTATCCCATAACCGTGCCCAAAATGCCGCTCTTTAATTTCTAAAACAGTATTCATGAGAACCACAATAATGGTGCACTCCTACATCTCTGTGTTTTCCCTTGACACAATAATAACCTTTTAAACAGCGAGATCACTAAACTCATGCTCTTCTAAAGGTCTCCTTTTACAGGGTATAGATAATTGCCTCAACCTCGCCGCTTTTCTCTTTTCCAGCTCTCTCTGTCATAAAATATCCGCTGTTGTATTCTGATAACGCCAACGTTTCGACATTAGGCAAACACGTGTTTTATTCTTCAGAAGAGACCGTCTCTTCTGCATACTTATCTGTTCTTTTTCCAGATTCTCCGTTAAGAGTGATATTTTGGAGTAAGCAAGAAAGATTGGTAGCATCCCTTTCTACCAGTTTCCAAGAGTGAAAAAGAAAACTGTCCATACCGGATATATGAATGTTTTGATATGCGAATATCAAGTGGTTGTGATCAACAAAATCCAATGCATACAAACTTAGATAACTTGAATTTTATTGCGCCCACTGTCGATCAATTCAACGTTCAGTAAAACTGCAACTAAAACTTTGAAAATAAACCCCAAATTACTTCCTGTAGCGGGTTTTCTAATGTAGTCGACTAATTAAGTTAAGCTTACTGTTTCATACATTAACGTTTATATGCCCTTATATATAAAAGGTTGAAATCCGATAAAGTCACTTAATCCCATTTCGTTTATATTCCTATGGTGATGGGTCAATATCAATTTAAACAACAACAAGCTTCAGGAAAAACATTGTGCTTAGCATCTTCCAGATGAGTTATTTACTTGTCAAGCAGGTCACGAAAAATTCCATCACTTATTCCAACTTCATTTTCATCGAAATTGTGTCACTGCTTAGAAAGAGACACTTGAAATTCTGTAACACAACGTAGATGAACTGAACGCAAAGATATATTTGCTGGGCTATACACCTAGGCGAAAATTCGGCAACAACACAGTGATTTATCAGCGAGGGTTACGGATAACCTCAATGTCAGTCCTCGGTAGAACTGCATAGAATGTGCTGCTATTATTCTATCAAAAAACTGGATTATAAAATCTGGCTGATTTAGGTCATCTGTGGTGTGGATGCTTCTAGCTCGCGAATGATCGATCGTCGAGACAAGGCACGCGCAAATCGAGTCGAACTAGACCGGACTGATACGGCTGAGACAGGTGTTATTCAGTTCCCATGCGAGATTGACTGTCAAGATTTATAGACATTAGTGACAACAAAACATTGTCGCAAGCGAGTAATGGGAAAGAAATCGATACGCATATGTGGTACATTTCAAACTGTAATGTTCATTGGAACCGTGGAGTGGAAATCTAGAAAGATGTGCACAGGGTGGTTGATCATGTTGAAACTATATGATTGTTATTTTCGATAGCCAAAGTAAATCATCAACGTAAACGAGAAATACCATACTCTGTAATGGCTCAGGGTTACCGGAAATACATTTATTTGATAAGGTGCGTTTTACAATAATATACGACCTTTTTCGCCCTGCCTCCGAATCAATAACCACAGATATCACGATTACCAGGATTATTAATACTGCCCATCACCACCCACAATCATCATCATCAGCATCATCATCATCATCGCCATCATCATCATCATCATCATCATCATCATCAGCATCATCATCATCATCATCATCATCATACATCCGAATGATCATCATCATCATCATCATCATCATCATCACCATCATCATCATCATCATCATCATCATCGTCAACATCGTCATCATCAACGTTATCATCGTCATCATCCGAATCATCATCATTATCATCGGCATCATCAGCATCATCATCATCAGCATCATCATCATCATCAGCAGCATCATCATCATCATCATCAGCATCATCATCATCATCGCCATCATCATCATCATCATCATCATCATCATCATCGCCATCATCCTGATTATCATCATCAACATCATCATGATCACACCACTGTATAAACATCTTCACCTAATAACTCGTGGTTACTCATGGTTACGCACTCACAGGTATATATTATTCCAAGTGCTTCTTACAATGTCTCAGCTGAACATGATTATTTGTTTCTCAAAACCGGCCTACCCGAATCTACCGTAAAATAAGAACGCTCACCACCAAGGAGTAGAATTACATTCAAAAAGCTGCAACGAAGAGCAAATCAACAACAATGTCTTTAGTCTTGCGCACCTCACTGAACTTACATCACGCGAAGAGACAGAAGGGAAGAGAGATCAAAACACCGACAATGTTATGACAGCAACGCAGTTTGAAGTTGAGATCTCAGTCGGTCAACTGACGCGGAACCAAATCCGTAATTCAATAATGACAGTCTATCGATCCTTGGAACACATAACAATTACAAAGAATATTGAAATGATTTCCACTATGGTGTCAAGTCAAACTAAATGTCATAATCGTCAACGTTGTTGAGTAAAAACGACTTTTTCAGAGAGATGCATTAACCAACGAGAATATTTTTTCACAAAGCACGAAACCTGCCGATGTTCTGTGATACGAATTTTCACTCGTTGAAAATCCTGAAATACTCAAGTCAATATTACCGAAGGAAAGCTTGGACCATACACACCAGTGGAATTGTGTTTTGTTCAACCGAACATCAATGGTAACCGAGAAGGATATCGCCCAAACGAAAACTGTGATTCCTAAAAGCTGTCAGTTCCTGATGTGAATGATTATAGTGCATCGTTTTGCCAATGATTTGAGAGAACTTTTGCGCTCTGCTTACCAGTGAACAGTGTAAATCCACGGTGTTCATCACCTAATCTAGTTCTCAGTAAAGTACGCATCTTTCACGTGGCGTCCTTTCTACGAGCGCACAATATGATTTTTCTATAGTGTGAAATAAAAATGTATCATTAGTCTGTTCCATGGCAAGTGACGGAAAGCATATTGGAATGTGAATTGAATTCCAGTGAAAGATTGCATAAACCTCCGAAAGACCCAACTGAGGCTTGACAATTCTGCAAGGAGATGAAGAATTGTGCTTTAAACTGACGCACAAGCGGACATAGAAGTCAGCTCGATAAGTCAACGTTTTTACTGTCGACCATCATATGAATCACCAGGGTTTCTAATTCACTTCTGAAATGTGCTAATAAATGGCTTGTGGACAAAAGTGGTTTGCAACATGAGCCACCATTTGTTCACTAGTAAATATTATCAGGATGAATCTAAACAGATAAAACAATTTGCCTTCAAAAGATTTGTTGGCACTAAGATGTGTTTCAAATTACGCAATGTTTGTACATTACTATGTTCAGTCTTGATGTCCTATCAGGTTAAATTCAGTTAAGATGGTCTAGCATTTGCGTAAACGCTACTAGCGGTGATTGCGTTGTATGAAAGTGAAAGGTCGCCGATTCCGTTGAACTCTCGAAAACTAAAGACGCATGGTTTTACCATCAAAAGCCCCCCTGTGTTCCAGCAGTACATTTTCATAAATCACAAGACTGACGACCATCAAAGAAGATAGCAGAAAACTGTCTTTCTGGCGTTTGTTAGACAAGGGGGAGACTAGAAGAGCAAAGAGCGCAAAATGCAAACCATTGCACGGAACGAAACACCAAGTGGCCGCTGGCCAGGTGTTTGTATTTCCTCGTTTTCCTCTAAGGCAGTACGCTATACTCCATTGTTTACGAGGGAGGTAGTCGAAATCGGATTGGTCCAACCCCTGCCTCTCCAAGTATGCAACCAAAGGCGCTTCACCGCACGGATTTTATACACATAAAACTTATCTTTTCGAGCCGTTTGTCTCCTGCAGTTTGTTACTTTATTTTCAAGTAGTTCAATTAACTTTCATGGCCAGCGCGTATTTACACTAGTTGAAGGCGAAAACATTATGAATATCAGGCATAATTATGTGTACCGCAAATCGCAATGCATGTTTTCCATCCTTGTCAAACCAGTATTCCGCCTAAGAGTAAACCTAGGAGAACAAAGTTCAAACGTTTTGATGAAACTAGTAGTGTGCATTGCGCTTTTTCCGTGGTATGAATAATAAAATAACTTACAGGGCCGCCGGGGCTCCCAGATCACGTAAATAGTTTCAAAACAGAAGTTACGTAAGTAACAAAAATTACGAATGAAATCATTTTTCTCATAAAGACAGATTGTCACCATGTGATGTCAAAGAATCTTCCTGTGAAATGAATTGAAATTTTGGTGCACTTCAAGGTGTCATTGATTTATCGTAGAGAAGAATTACAAGACCTAATAAGGTAAAGTTAACTAAGATTTCAGTTAGATGAACTAGGTAGAAGATTTCTTTCCCCACTTGAAAGTGACAAAAAAACAACCGGTGTTGTAAATAGGGCTATATCAATTTTGATGAACGCTGTGTTGCGAAACTTCTGAGACGGATAAGTGAATATCAGCAGTGGATCACAGAGATAGGTGAACGAAATGTGCAGCAAATCGCAGATCCGACTTATCACGAGGTTATCTTATAGACCACTACGGAAAATACACTTAAATACTCATTTATAGTACAAGAAATTTTCATCAGAAATAACGAGGCATCTGCGAACAAGTTCAAGCGTTACGATATGTCTACTGGAATAAACGTTCTCAGTCAATGAGTCGAGTGCAGACAATAGGAGATAATTATCGAAAACCCAATTCACGCCGAATGAATGACTGTTGTGTGATGTGATGCCCTTAGAATTGGCAGCTCGATCCAAGCCATAACTCAGTGCTTTCATTCTGTTATATGTGACTGAATCAGTTAGTTCTCTTTCTTCCAGGATTCATCCGTGAATATCTAGCGGAATAGTGATTAAAGGCACCTCTCATTCCTTTTATTTTCGATCTACTCTGGGAAAAATGTCGTTTATTATCTCTCTTTCTCTCTCGCGTAATCTCCGTCGGCATGATTCACTTTTGCTCTTTATTCAAGCATGTTTTTGAACGGTTTATCACCTGCACATCGTCCCAGGTTACTGACAATATCATTTCGTAGCCATGTACACAAACCCTCTCCCCTGAATAAACTCTGCATTTAATATCAACCACACATAAAAGTCTTCTACCTTCCGATCACACCAAAGGTTGTCAGAAGTGGAAAAATGAATGCTGAGCGGCAAAGATGAATGGTAAATAATGATTACTGGCATAGCTTTGTTCAAATCGTGTCAGTATTAGTTATAAATCTAATGATGATATAGGGGCAGACGGTTATAAAGTGACAGTTTGTTGGCAAACATTTTGTAAACAACAGACCGAAGATGAATATTCTGGAAAGATTATAGTAAAATTTTATAAGACCAGTTTGTTACCACAAATGAAATGATTTATTCACTGATCAAATATGTAGGTCACACAACTAACAATTGTTAGAATCCCACTCATGTTCATGTATGCGGGTTATAAAATAGACAATTCAGTGTGAATTAAGCAGAATCACACTGTTAGTTTGTTTGATAAAGCATGACGATTTGTCTTACAATTGGGTTGGTTTCATTTACAACAAAATATAACCGTATTCGAGAAACTACCCGTTTTCTAGTTACTTCTGTGCATTGTCTAATACATGTCTCACCTAAGTCAGTCGCCTTAGTAAAAATGAGTTATTCAAATCAATTTCGAAGTTTATGACGCAATTTCTTTTTGGTAAATATGTGGTGATATAAATAAGATGAAAATGCATACATCTAATTGCTTCAACACAGCTCAGCTTGTGACGACTACATCAGTCAGTAGAGAGAGCAATCAAGTATGAGAAGGATAACGAGCAGTCAATGGCAGGCCAATGCAGTGAATTTCCGGTTGAAGGTGAAATGAAATAAGAGTAAAATCATAATTTCGGGTAAGGCGAATGTGTATGAAGGCAACGTGGTGAATGTGCTGTTGCTTTCCATACACAGAAAATTGTGAATTATGGACGGTATGTAATGTGATCGAGAGAAATCAATGAAAAACAAAAAAAGTTAATAAACTTGATGAATGTGGTGGTCGACGCAGGGTCCTTGCACATTGCTTTCTGTACACTAGGTACTTCACCTCAACCAGACAAACAGCAACATCTAAACCGGCTTCTTTTGCTTGAAAAACTCAAACTGGATAGTGCGATTACTAATGGTCTCGGCCATGGGTATAGAGAGTGATTCTGCATTCGGGAAATATCGCTCCGGTATAGTGTGAATTATGTTGAAGCAATCCAATTTGCTATCAACCACGTGACCAATTACAGAGCCATAATTCCACCTAACCGTTCATTTAAATGGTACTGATGGGAAGTTTCTTGCTGAACTGTGCATCTGATATCAGTTCTCGAAATCAAACTGAAACCTCTATTTGTGCGCCTAATCATATTTCTAAAGCTGAGAATGCTTCGCTGACCAGAGCAAGCCTACGCATGGCCCACTTACCGTTAATGATCAGGCCCATCAGTTGACTGTTTGCCAGATAGTCAGTCAGAAAAACAGTAGCAAATTTACTGCAAGAGCTTAACAGTTCCAATTTTTTAATACATAACCAAAAGTAGACCAAGTCAGGGCAATATCTAATCTCTCAACCACAGTTGTCTAGTCCGCTGATCACCCGGCCATCGCGTCCTATTATTGATTTGAATCTGGCCTACGGCAAAACCAACAAGACAACCGAAATTCCGGAGCTGTTTACGATCTTTTTTTTCTTTCTTAGCAAACGTGACCTTGTCTGCCAAAGCTCCCAGAATTGTTGGGCTATTCAAGCTAATCAAACAGCGGGGGGAAGATTTTCTAAACTTTATCACATTGTTGTCAATCCTAGGGAATGGCAATTATTAATAAATACCCATCATTTTTATTCGATTGGTATTACTTGGCAAACCATTATCAAGTCTATAAGAAACTAAAGTAACACGTGATTCCCAAAACAACAAAATCAAAAATTTTTGACATCTTCACACCCAACTGAGTGAATCAAAATGAATCAAATTCATTTGCCAGTTGTTTTCACTGTGTTCC